CCTAATTGTACGTAACATATTGCCATTACGAGTGGGATAGTTGTGACAATCATTGTTCCTGAAAAATTTAGCTGCATTTTTTTGTATATAAGATTGTTTTATAAATATATATTGAGGAAACATCACATCCCCGCATGTTTGTCTTGATTCCAGATTGAAGATAATCTAATTGCTCTTTTTTGTGCAATAAATACTCTTGTAGCAGCAGGAGAATTTCCCCAGAGTGTAATATTGTAAAATAATTTTAAAAACGATTTAAATCAAAGATCATAAATCGTTTGCATTTGAACAAATGATTTAAATCAAAGATCGATTTTTTAAAAAGAAAGATTTAAATCAAAAATCTTTTTTAGATTTAAATCTTTTTTAGAATTTAAATCATTTTAGGAAAGATTTAAATCATTTTAGGATAGATTTAAACCTTTTCGAAAGATTTAAATCTTTTCGAAAGATTTAAATCTTTTCGAAATATCTAAATCTTTTTAAACGAAATAAATATTTTCAAAAGATTTAAATATTTTTATAGATTTGGGTAACTCTTTAAAAAATGCTGTCGGTTGGCCAAAGATAATGAATTCACATAGATGCACATACATCAGACTCTTTAAAAATATGTTTTTTTTGTACTTAGGAGACTCTCCCGGAAAAATGCATTTCATTTTCAAAATCTCCCGGCTATGAAAAATGAAATTGAGTGGGTTGTATTAAAAGAGTTCTTCTCTCAACGTGAAGTTATTGCGAGTAAATAAATAAACAAAGTAGGCGCGTTTGGGTTAATTTTTTTGAAAAATGTGTGGATGAATCAGGCATAGAAATAAAAAAAATTAATTAATTCGCTCTACCTATACCAAGCGCGTTTATTGAACTGGTCAAAAAGTCATAATCGTCTTAATGCAACTCTTGTCAAATCTGAAATAAAAGTGTGCATACATTTAAAATACATATGTAAAGAGTTTTAGGATTATATCGATAATGAAAACGTATTTCCAGCTGCTTGCGGTGTAAAAAATACAACTTTACAAAAAAAATATCGGGTCAAAAATATTGTAAAATTTCATACTTAGGAATAATCTTTAGTCATTGCAATTATTTGTTACACTTTACTATTTTTTTATTTTTCTTTTCTCCCGGATTTCTGACCCAACCCTACTGACATGCTGACTAGATTATTATTCAGGAATAGACATGTTGATAATGATTTTGACGAATTAGGTGATGTAAATCGTTTTAAAAAGATTTAAATCTTAAAAAAGATTTAAATCTTTAAGAAAATTTAAATAATTTTAAAAAGATCGAATCATTTTACAGATTTAAATCATTTCAGAAAGATTTAAATCATTTCAGAAAGATTTAAATCATTTCAGAAAGATTTAAATCAATAAAAAGATTTAAATCAATAAAAAGATTTAAATCGTTTTAAAAAGATTTAAATCTAATTTTTAAATAAAAAATCAAAGATACTTTTCAGAAAGATTTAAATCATAAATCAAAAATCATTTTTTTAAAAAGATTTTTAAAATCAAAGTATTTAAATCAAAAAATGTATTTAAATCAAAAAATGTATTTAAATCAAAAAATGTAATTAAATCAAAAAATGATTTAAATCTCACTGATAGGTGACAGCTCTGTATGTGAATATACAATTGCATAATATACCTGTAGAAGTTGGTTAAATGTAAATATCTGTTTTAATTGAAGTAGGGCATAACAACCGCTATTAACCTTTTTACAGATGTAATTAATATTTGATTCCAAGCCTATATCACTATATAGCAGTACCCCCAGAAATTTTGTTTTCTGCGACAAGTAGACATCATTCCAATTTACCTTCACCCATATATTGCCATAAATTCTATTCCTTGAAAAAAACTGAAGAGCAACTGTTTTATCAGAATTTAAGAATAAGTAATTTTTATTACACCAAGTTAAAAAATCTGAAGCTACTAAGTGAAGCTTCTTCTGCAGCTCATCTGGAGAAGTAGCATGAGATGCTAAAGTTGTATCGTCGGCATAGAGTATGGTATAATCTGCAGACACATGCTGGGAAGATCATTTACATACAACAAAAATATTAGTGGTTCCAAAACTGAGCCTTGTGGTACTCTTCGGGTTAGACTTTTCAATTCTGATTTACAGTTATCCACTTTTACACATATCTGACGTAAATATAAATAAGAACTTAGCCATTTTAAAATTATGCCTCTGAAATCTAATGCATGAAATTATTTTGAACATTTGATATGTCAATTGTGTCAAAAGCTTTGGACAAGTCAAAGACGAGTGCACCCACATACTGCCCCTTATATAGCTGTCGATATATATAACAAAAAGTTTGTTTTTACACAATTAAAAAGTTGTATATCAGTTATAAAAATATTGAAAGTGTCGTTTGCGTGTGTTTTGTAACGTTTTAATTAATTATACCAGGGGGTGGGTGGCTCAGTGGTAGAGTCTCTGCCTGTGGATCCAAGGGTCCCAGGTTCGAATCCCACCGTTGGCCGGGATTTTTTTATTTAATTTAATTATTTAAAATTAATTCTGATGCCTTGGTAGGATTCCCCACTCGACCATTCACTGTTGGGTTCTAATTAACAGTGCTGTTCCTAAAGTGGCGCAAGGAAACAGTAACAAGGCCTGTCTGTAGGGGTGTAGGAGTATTAGAGTACTAATACTCCTGCACTATGGAGTATTAGACTACTAATACAATCCATAACCTACATATAACACTAGGCTAATGACCTTAGATGTTGAAGCCGTACACCAAATAAAAAAAAAAAAATTAATTATACCAATATTTTATAACTTTGTGTGTTACTTAGGTAATTACTGAGTGATAGGCCCCTGAAAGAAGGTCATAGTGAAAAACATTGAAAGTTTTCTATATCTTCTGAATATTTGTTCACGTTTTGTTTTACCATTTCACAACTCCATAGATGATCGATATTACAAGGGAATAATTATTGTAAATGAAGTTATAATATAGTAAAAAAACGTGAACAAATATTTAGTGGTTTAAGATCAATAGAAAAATTTCATTGTGAATATTTTTCACTATGACCTTCCTTTAGGGGCATAGAACTACGTAATTAAGACTTTCACATTCAAATAATAAGTGGCAAAAACAATTCATAGTACATGTAGGATTTCAGTGGCACCCTCTTTTTACATGAATTTCATTGTCTAAAAAAGTAGGGGGACAAAGGGGTACAGAACCACTATAAAAACCTATAGAATTGAAATAAGTTTAAACCCCTGACTCCATTTTATTGGTCACTATAGGTATACAAACATCGTAACATCTCACATACATTTTCATAAAAAGCCACTTTAGAGTAAGAGTAAAAAAGCACTCATAAAATGTCTACTTTAACACCATGAAAGTTTTTTATTATCCATTTTTTATATAAGCAAGTCCATCCAAGAAACTGTGGTTAAATTTACTGTACATCTTTTTGTTACATCCTGTATATAATTTAGTGAACTTATTACCCGATGGTTTCTGGAGTCGCTGATTATGAATCCGATTTCAAAGATAAAAGATTCAAAATGGTAGATCCAATATGTCGGACCGTGAATGAATACTTTCCAAATTCCATGAAAGGATCCCGCTCTTTTTATATTGATTTTGGGTACTGTCAGAATTTGTATAAATTATAGTATGTTACGTATTAGGCCATTATGGGCACAACTTTCTTATGGGCCTACAGGGTGAGCTGTTAGAAGGAGTCAAAAGTAAGAAGTGCAGAAAAAATATTGTCACATATAACTCTAGCACTCTTAAGTAATTCATGTTTTTTTTCATGAACTTATGGCATGTGTTACATTTATAAATAGTTGGTTAATGCTTACTTCCACTTTGTAAAATACATCATACAGAGTGTTAAAAAAATAGGAATATTAATTATTGAAATAAGGTGCATTTTCATGTATTTCCATAATTAGAACATGACTTCTAATCACTTATTTGTTATATTAAATATTAGATAATATTTTATTTATAATACGGGGTGTGACAGAAAGACATAAATAATATCTAATACACAAATATAAATTTCTTTACATAGATTTTTGGACTTTCCAATAAATTATAAAAGAAAAAAGAAACAGCATTTTTATAAACCTGTTTTATTACATACATTAACCATTTACTCATCATCAAAATCTGACTCATCTTTCAGCGTTATATCGCCGTTCCGGTGGAATATCGACGTAACTGCAATTTTTTGCAAAATCGAGTAATTGCCATAAATGGATCCAAAAAATCAGTGTTTATATGGTAAAATAAAGACGTACGTGTAGTACCAATTTTTGCCGCCAGATGGATGTTGTGCGCTTATTCCATTTTCAGATATTTAAAGCATATTTCGCGAAAACAGCGCCGCAAGTGTCAGTTGTTTCTCAACCGCGGAGTGAAACGGACGTTGCTAAGTGGAATAAAGACGCAAGTGATAATTTTGCCTATTAGAATACGATTAGTTTCCAAACTTTTGGGAAAACAAAGACGTAAGTGTATTATGTGGCCATATTCGACTAAATATAGTTTGCTTAAAAGCCAGAAATACAAGAAAAAATGCCATAAGTGTACCTTATTCTTATTTAGAAAAAGGTTTTCTCTTAACTAAAATTTGCGTAAATGTAGCAAAGTATGTATAGAAATTATATTTTTTATTTAATTTTAGATAAGACAAGCCTAATTATTGATGCGCTTTTTGTCCTTAATAAGTAGTTAGATACTACCTACTTATTAAAATAAATTTAAAACAATTATAAAATAGAAGTTATCTGTTAATGGATTTGTCTTTAATTATTTTTAGATTCCTAATTGCTGCCTATCTGTATGCTGTGGAACGATTTGCAATAAAGTCAATAACACATAAATTTTTAATCCGCGGGCACACGCAAAACGAAACAGATGCTATCATAATTGAAAAAAACAATTAGAAGATCAAAAAAGTCTGGATCCATTTATGTCCCAGACCAATTTGTATCGATGATCCGTGATGCAAAGAAAAGGAAATAAGATTGATGTTAAAGAAATGGGATTTGAAAGTTTCTATGATCTGAAAACATTATTTAGCGCCATGGGCCTTAACATTGCTGAAAATGTTGATGGTAATGAATTTAAAATAAATGAAGTTAAGATTTTTGATTTTCAGAAAGGAAGTAAATTAATTCGCTATAAAACTAGCTATGGGCAAGCTGAATGGTCTTCTTTAAATTTCAAAGTTAAAAGAAGACGGTCCGAACTACAAGACATTAAAAATCTTATACTTAAAAAAGCTTACTCAAAGCCTTTGCAGTTATCCGAAAATAAAAAAGGGATATAAAAAGTTTAATAGAGAGCAAGCTGATACCAACATTCTACAGATACTTTTATTTTAAAATAAGTATTTTTAAAGTTTCATTCTCTAATAAGGTATAGTTAGTTACATTTTAAAATTTTTGTAAATTATAAGCTTAGTTTTTTATTTTGTTATGTATTTTTGTTGTAATAAAAAGGACACAACTCCTAACGTGATCTTTTATTTTTGGTCAAACAAAGACGCAACTATCAAAATCCATTTTCGCCTTAAGGGCACGGAAAAGCCACATATTCCATTTTATTCTACCTATTTAACAAGCTACTTTCTCACAAAATTACGATTATCATAAACACTTTCTTTTAGCAATAATTAATTAAAGGAAAAGTAAATTGTTATTTGTCTTTCCTGAAAGTTTTACCAATTTGCAGTTACGTCGATATTTCACCGGAACGGCGATATAATTATCGAATCATGCGTGTTCCAGATATCACAAAACACTTAAAATATGAGCACACATGCCTATAGATTTTGAATCAGTCTTACATGTACAGTAATATCTAGTAATGGCATTCTATTGAATTTCTTTGTACTATATAAATAATATGTTTTACATTATTCGCAAATCTCGAATATATTGCAAAAAGAAGCGAAGGCACGCTGTGTAGAAAGTTTCCTAACAAAAATAAACTACCTACTATCAAAAAATTCTAAAAACAAACTTTACAAATTGTTGCTAATAACATGGCCCAAGAAAAAAGAACAAATATACAATGTAAAATAGAATGTAGTCTGAAATTGCAAAGATTACAACGCTGGCTGTTAACCCTATCATGATAATTTAGCTGTTGTTAATCTAACACTCGCCAACCTTTAAGATTATAGAATCCTTTTATCCTAATTATTCTGATTGAAGAGCGTAGGTAAGGGGGGGTAATAGGGGTAACTACCCCCCCCAAGCCATAGTCAACATCGTTATTTTTGTTAACCGTTATATTAAACAAAAATAGAGAGATAACATAAATACAATAAATAAAACAAAGATTTTCTCAAATATTGTCATCTAAAATAAAAATATTCCTAAAAATTTAAAATTTAAATATATGAGCGGTTTATTTTGAAAGTGGCCTAAGTCTATTTATACCTAAATTGAGGTATCTAAGGGTTTCTGTAAATTTTGTTTAACTGCATTAATTAAACGTACTGATTTATTCAACTAATTGAGGTATCTAAGGGTTTCTGTAAATTTTGTTTAACTGCATTAATTAAACGTACTGATTTATTCAACTAATGCAATTGTCCAAAAACTGAGGTTAACTTGTTAAATACTAATTAATTAAAATTACCTTCTTCACTGCATTCGGACATTATCAATAATGATAATCTTAATTTCAGTATAAAATGGATTTAGACCACTTTCAAAATAAACAGCTCGTATATACAGGGTCCCATTAGTGCGTAATTGTTCAATATTTCAATTTGTGTTATAGACACGCAAACAAGTTTGAAATAAAAATTATATAGATTTGAAAATAACATGTTTTAAAAATATTTTTGGATATACAGGGTATTGTGTTTGCGCCTGGTAAATAAAAATCTATGCTTTTAAATTGAACACTCTATGTTTTAATTTTAAAATGGTTTGGTAATATTGTATTCAACACTAAAATGTTTTTAAAAAATATTAGTGTTCCCAAACAATTAATTTTTATTTAAATTAGAGAATAATGCAGACCCCAAATTAAATTATCATAATTTAGGTAGGTTTACATTGTGTAATCGATGTTAAATAAAACACGGTTATTGCAAGACTGACTTTATTTTCTTTCGGCTAAATACAAAGCAATTAATCATACAGCCGTGAATCACACCACTGATGCCGAATTCGTCGAATCAGCCGTTCTGATTAAATGCTTTAGTTTTTTTAAACTGCTAACAATTGATTTAAAAATTGTTTAATATTTTAATATACAGACTTATAAGATACTAAGCTAACGAATAGAGAACAGAACTGGTTTATTTTAATATTTTGAAACGTCAAATATGGCTAATTTTATGTTCAATTTACTAAATAACACATATACGGTGTCTAATCAGTGCGTAATTGATCGATAGCTGTTTTATTATTAGAAATACGAATACATTTTTGATATAAAAGTTGTATTACCATATTTAACAAATATTCTATACTCTATACTTTTTTTAAAGCAAAACACCGTGCATGTAGTTATTCATATAAGATTGTTTAAACATTATCAAACAATTTTAATTGACTTCATTTATTTTCTGTTGTATATAGGGTGTTTCAAAACGTAAGGCTACTATTTTCTCAACTTTTTAAATGGAATACCCTGTATTAATAAATTGGTGGTATGACGTATATGGTATTCCATTTAAAGAAATGACAAATCGTTACCCCTCATTTTGAAACACCCTTTATACAACATAACAAATAAATGAAGTCTATTAAAAATTTTTGACGATGTGAAAACAATCAAATATAAAAATGTACAAGTTTGGTAAGCCCCTAGTTTATGGACCACTTGTATATTTAAGATTATTTATTAAACATGGTCATTCAACTTTTATATTATTTTTTCCTAGTTCCAATAATAAAACAGCTATCGATCAATTACGCACTATTGGGACACCCTGTATGTGTTATTGGCTAACATGTTAGTATCGTTGGATAGGTAAATTTATAAGGAATTTTATGCCAAAATAATATACAAGGTGTTGCATTTGAAAAAATCGAGTAAATTGAACTTAAAATTAGCCATATTTAAGACATGTTTCAAAACACTCTGTATAAAATAAATCAGTTATATCACCTCGGAAATAGAATGATCTACAAGGATCAACCAGAAGTCTCTTTTTTGTTACAAATTGGGTGAGAAATAATTATTAATCTTGTTTTATAAAATATAGGGTGTTCAAAAAGTTTTGATTAAAATTGTTTCCTTATCCCTTGATTCTACCCCAATGGGTCATCGAAATTTATCGAAATAGAGTGTGTTAACTAATAATAACGATTAACTAACATATACATATTTTTAAGTTAAAGTATTTACTGTAAGGGAAGATATTTAGAAAATTATGTATTTATGAAATTCACTTTATCACCCTGTAGAATGAAAACTGGGACGTTAATAGGAAAATTATATTTGGCTTTTCTTTACAATTAGTTGATACAAATCCCCAACTACGGTACTATATTCTGAAAAACACTGTGTAAATAAATAAAAAAATTAAAAACTTCATTATAAAATTCACTCTTTTTTCTGGAAATACACATATGAACTTTAGACGTTGCATTTTGAATTGTTACCATATTTTAAGATAACACGCTGCGCATTCACCAATAATGTGAGAAGTGTTACCCCCTCCAAGAAAACAACCTAGCTACGCGCTTGTTCTGATTGATAAACAAAGAAATACAAAAAAGTTATGTCATATGCTTAGAAAATAGTTTAAAGCAAGATAAAAGTATGTATTGGTATAAAACAGCTAAACAATATTAAATTGCCAGGTAAATACCATCATTATTCATATTACGAAGTTTTTTTATTAATGTAATACTGCAAAAACAAGGTTTTTTATGAGGTTTTAATTTAACTAAAATAAACCTACTAAATCTACAAGAATAGAATTATATTTATAAGTAAAGTGATAAGCTGCACCTGTACTGTATACAATATCTTCTCAGTCATTCATTCAAGTCAAAGTTAGTAAACTATTTCTACATTTAAGAAGAAGTAGAACGGGATTTGGTCAGTTAAAAAGAGCTATGATTTCATTACGAGCCAAACTGAATTCTGTTTCAAGACTACAATATTTTAGGTTAAATGCGTTTTTGTCATTCTTAGTTATTTATGTAGCTCTATTACACCCTAAATTACTTATGAAAATGATTTAGTGTGAATTGAAACAAAAAAAAAATAGTCAGATGTCATATTCTAACTATGTTAATACTGCTATTCCCAATTTTTTTAAACACGCTGTATGATTTATTTTGCAAAGTGTAAGTAAGCATAAACTATATACAAGTGTAACACATGACATAAGTTTCATGGGAAAAATCAAGAATTACTTAATTCTGCACTCCTTACATTTGACTCCTTCTAACAGCTCACCCTGTAAAGCTGCAAACTTGAAGACCATAAGAAAGTTGTCTTTAAAGACCTGAAAAATAACATTCTAAAATTTGAACAAATTCTGACATTACCAAAAATCAATGTAAAACGTGCGGGGTCCTTTAGTATCCGGGTTTTTTGAGTCACCGATTACGATCCAAAGTTCAAAATCGCAGATCTAATATGGTGACCAAAAATATGAAAAACTGCTTTGGCGCATAAAACTAAAACGAAAGCAGTTTCCAAGGGGTTTTTGAGTTCACCAAATCTTAATTTGAAATCAAAATAAATATATTATGTAGAAAGTATATAAAAGAAATCCAAAGTATATAGAAAAAAATGTAATCGTTATGATGTAAATATGTGTATTTCGTTCCAGCGTGAGTCCATTCATTCATAATCTTTAAAATTTCCGGAAAAAGGCTTTACAGCCTACTCGTGAGGACTCCTAACTGGAGGTTAAGGAACTTATTTCAGCAGAGGTGTATATATCTATTAGTTATTAATGATACAGACTGACATTAATTAAAAAAAAATCTTTCTAGCGAAATTAAAGACGAAGACGAGTTAAACTTTCAACTTGAAAATAAAGTATTTCATTTAGATGATCTTGAAGACGAATATATTAAATAAGTCGTAATTCATTAAATTTTTAATTTCAAGTCTTGATCGATAATTTTTTTATTTTGTCAGCTGCCATATTGGAACCGCCATTTTGTATTTTTAATTTTTAAAATCATATTCAAAATCAATCACCTAGAAACCCCCTTGGTTTCATTTTTATGCAAAATCAAGAAATTTTTAATATTTTCGGGCGCCATATTGGATCCCCCATTTTATATTTCTGATTTTTTATTTCAAATTCAAAAGCAGCGACCCCAAAAATCCCAATAT